ATATATATATTGGCCCTCGACGTTAAAATAACAAGATTTTAACGAAAAAAACTGTTTATTGATATAAATCGTATACTTAAAATTTTATATTGTAAAGCAATTATACTTTGATTCATTGTATCGTTCCGTATTCGTTTACACAATCAATCTTCGAGTTGTTTTGACATTGGCAGCTTGATTTTTTACAGAGTTCGATGTAAAGTTTGCAATAAATAATGATAACTCCCTGAGTATTACTCAAATATAAAAAAAACAATTTTCATAGAAGTAGCCCTTTAAAAGGCGGGGTTTTTTTTTTACAAGCCAAGTCAGAAACCTCGGCACGATGTTTGTTTTATTTTGAACTCTCTGTTCTTTAACTTACAGCCCCCTCTACAAATTAAAGTAAACGCCCCTAACAGCGTTCTCGTCGAAATAGCTCAACTTATGTGATAAGTAAATGAAAGAAAYTGAAAGTCCCCGTTGACTTAGTGACGGATTTGGCTCATGCGAAGTTGGAATAAAGACAGTGGAAAAGCTTGAGCTCTCGCTAATTGTTGCACTCAACCTGATGAATACTTGAAGTCAAGCGGAAAACAAACCGGAAGTACTCAAAGCATATTTAGTAGAGAGCAGAAAAGGTATGCAAATTATGTTAATATCAGCAAAAATGACTTTGAGCGTATAAAAACTCTTTAAAACACATAGACAATAAAATATTTTATRTTTTTTAACCTATTCAACTCTTAAAAAGTAACCGAGATTTTATATAGACAATGTGGAGATAGGACTGACGACATTTGCGCAACAGCCTGATGGTTTGTCGGTCCTTGAGCTATTTCATTACCCCTAAAATAGTCTAGCTAAGCTCCTTTTTTTCTGTGCAAAGGTAGCAGACGTTGAGTTGTTTCTACAAACAAAAGAATAAAAACGGCTTTTTTAGAGAGATAAAAACTAAAGATATGCTAGGACTACAACTCCCATCATGCTTTGCTGTACTAAATAGTGTCAATGCAAGAACATTGAAATCAAATGCTTTGAAGTCTCTAGTCCCTTGTCATATTTCTTGTCTTGGAGTTTGGAGTTTATGTAATAATCAGAACACTATAGTGCATTATAGGCATTTAGTGTATTCGAATATAAAATAATAATAATTTATCTTCATACAAAGTCAGGGACATGCCACCGATGGAACGAGATACCATGGAATCCTTTTAGTGGATATGCTCGACGGACCTTAAGGATTGAAAATACAGCCTTTAAGCCTCTAGATCCGCSGGGGAACTCCCTTATAAAAGTTGGTTGCTGGTATGCTCTACGGGAGGATTGAATGACCCTTAAAGTTACGCATGAATTAATTCAGGTATCGATTCCAGACCCTAAAATTAAAGGTACGACCATTTTCAATGACGTCTTTAACAAGAGAAAAGCTCTGAGTTTTGTGGCCCCTTTTAGGGTATATGACGTCCCTAAGACGTCATATTTCCTATGAAAGGTAGGTGCTGCATTCAACTAAAACAAAATGACCTGTTATTGATTGGTCCCTTTTAGGGGTGAAATTTCAGCACTGCCACGCCCATCATCTCCAAACACAGGTCCCCCTTAGGGGTCATTTTCATAATTTCCGCCGAGGACCCCCGCCCTTTGATATTATGGATTCCCCCCCCCCCCCTCTTCTATTCTTGGAGGCACCCACGTGGTATCTGAGCATCATTGCATCAGATATCAGTTTTTGTTCCGTGACAAATTTGTGGAATTACAGAGTTTACATAATAGCACAGTATCAATCTGTTCAGTCGAATTTAAATTGAGTCAGACTTCGTTCTTTTACATAAACGGAATTAATCAAAAGCAATCAATAGTATGGAGTACACCTCATGTAAACCACGACGTTTGACCCTGGCCTTGTRCRCCATTGCGTTACGCTTGTGTTGCCTTATTCACATGTTATTCAAGTTCTAATAATATCGTGGTAAATTAGGCCGGAAACTTCACTATGGACACATTAGAACTAATATTGCACTTGTGGTGTTTCTTTGATTTATTGTYATTTTATTGTTCAAGGCATACTCCGATACATTAAATCATTGAAATTCACAAAAACGTATTTAATGTACATTCCACAGGCATTGATAGCATTGTGATCAATAACATGATAACCTGGTTCCTTTCCATGATTATACTTCGATTTCTTCCGGGCGGTACCTTCTTTGATTGATATCGCGTTCTGGTCAGCGTTACTATTTGAAGTCACGTATCAATATTTTGGGGCTCCTGTGTAGAAACATAACATGAGCTAAAAAGTTATGCAACAAAGAGATGAGACCTATGGACAACTGGGGCGTTAGTCCTCCGTACTCAATGACGCCGAAGAGTAGCCCGATGAGGGTATTCATGATTTATTGCAAACTGAAATACACTGCTACACTATTCAGAGCSCGAGTTTCTTTTGCAAGCACGAGTAATAAAAGAATCTGCCGCACCTTGGTCTTTAGAGTCTTACTGACAACCGGACGCATTAACCCCACGAAAACATCATATCGATAGCGCACTGGTTTTGGATGAAACTAATATTAAAGACGCTTTGAATTAGTTCAATAAGGGGTCGCCCATACTGAGAAGAATTAATTGAAATTTCATAAAAGCTGAAAATCCGAACAGCGTCAGCAACACAACAAACCCTCCCTTCCCGGTTCCCATTTCAATACCTCTCCTTTCCGATAGCATTCTTTATATTGCGAAGTATTATTCAGGATCTATCTTTTGTTCTTTTGATGTTTTAGATTTTATTCCTATCATCCGCTCTGATGGCATCGAGATATGTGAAGAAGGAACTGTTTATTCAGATCCTTGACCCAAAAACCAACAACAATTTTCAGCGTCCAAGCTAATCACGTAAACTGAAAATGTAAAACTGTTTCACATGGTTTCATGATCCTGATTTCTAAGACAGGGGTGGAAAAACTCAGTGCCCATGGTAGTAGTCCCTATAAACATGTATAAGAACAAAGGACAATAATAATCATAAAAAAGTGCATTTCTTGTTCTCTTGTTTTTGGCCTTCATCTCAGTTTTAGTTTTGTTTTTCTTTCCTTCAACGCGACTTTTCACGGCCAAGCCTCTTTCTTCCTTGTTACGGCGTCGAGCCCTTTGTACGTACCCACGACCATATCGAAAACAAATCGTAATTCATTGACTTGAAAAAAAAAAAACATGCCGGCTTTAATATTTAAAACTAATAGATATTCGCATTATTGGAACGATACGCATTTTAACGACGTTATCTGGAACACTAATCGCTTCTCGTGACCTGCGTCAATAGAGTGTTCACGCGATACCCGCTATTATTCGTAACAGTCAGTTTTAACAATCTACTGCTGTCACTCAACGCGTTTATATTTGATCTTTATGTCAGCCACTATGCCACAAACAGTAGAGCGACTCTTCATTTTACAATGGCTCACTGCGATGTTTAGAAAACAACAATTAGCTAGCAAAAAAACGACGGGCTTTTTATTCTCAAAGCTGCTTCGATTTTGAGTGAAACGGTTGAAAAAATGAATTTGAACAATTATCAAAATCAAAATCAATCAGTAAAGAATCAAAAACATACAAAGAATAAGCGAAAAGAAATGATAATGTGATTCAATATGTAGATGACTCATCGAAATTTGTGAACAAGTGGAGATAATTCAAATGTAACAAGCGTAATACGGGAACTGTATTCATGAATGGGAATTAAATGATCTGATAGTTCTGTACAATACTGCCGATAAAAGTATTCTGAGTTAGATCAGGAACCATACAACTACAGCAAATAAAAAATATTGCACAAATCGTAAATTCATTGGTGCAATATAATCTAAGGACGAACTATAGAATTTTTATTGCAAAAACAAATGTTGTAAAATTTAAAACGATTTTTTGTCAATGATAGATGAAAAACAAAACAAACTGTAACCCTAAAATTGTCGTTTTCTCGTGTGCTTAGATGCCGTTCGAACAAACTCCGCTCTTCTAGAAATTACTCAGAAAATGTCAGTGCTTGAAGTTGTAAGGCGCACAAAGTTGCAAAGCATAGCTTTGAAATGGATATTCGTGATCACAATAGAAAAAAAAACGGTACTAAATGAACTATTAATTACATACAAAAAAAGCACAATGTAACGCAGGGAAACGCAGAGCAGAGGGTGATCGTTTTGTGAACAACCGGCAAACACGTTGGACGAACCACTCGCGGAACAGAACGGCTTGTACATGAGCTCGTCAAAATGATTGACAGTATTGTGGTAGATCTGTGTTGAAGATGCAGGCTGTTGATTGGTCGTTTTTATGCTAGGTTCGTAATAGAAGGCTGTTATTGGTTGATCAGCGAGCGCCATTTACATGTCACAAGTAAGCTGGGAATCTGTCAAGAGAAGAGGCGAAATCAACACGAATCCACATCGGATAGATTTCACGTTGAAAATTCATCCAAATGTAGTAGTTCTTCGTAGTTTTAGACACAATTCTGATGTATGTACTTACTGTTTTAGGCGTTGTAGGAATCCTCGGCTCATTGGGTGAGTATCATAGCGAAAAATATTATGTTTTGGTCATTTGTTTCATATGACCGTAGTAGGAGATAGATTTACGTGAACCCTATGTCGCTCAAACTCTCTAAGCCACTGCTCCCTTACCTCTTTGGCCATGGCCAGTGCTGTTGTAGGACGCAACAATTCATTAGTCCTGGATTATGGTAAACATTTRACTAGAAGCGAGGTCGTTTGAGTTATTTTGGTCTCGGAGGAACGGCGAACATTTGTACCAGCTGCCTATGGCTGAATTTTCCAATTCGACGAGCGAACTTGTAGAGGCCTCGCGCACTCTTCGATGTGCATGTGGGGGCCTAATGTTTGCATCGYGGCCATGTCCTATATTTGTTATGACTATTTTCCACTGTTTAAGGGTTTTATCCCATAGGGATCGAGAAGAAAAAATCAAATTCTATGTTGTGATGAGAATCGTATTGCCTAACAAGGAGAGCAATGTTTGCATTTACGAATTCGTAGATTTRGATGTAACTAGTGTAACTTGGCCTTTTGAGCTAAATTATATTTTTCTGTTTTTATGTGGTTTCGGCATACATAAAATGTCAGTGTCATTCTTACCGAGGTCAAACTAGAAAATAGAGTTTATAGCTGAAGTGCCCTTTGCATCAGCTAGCGCGCGTTATGTCCGTCAGGCACAAAGCACTATTACGATTCGCATGAAACTCCTTTATCACCCAAACTCTTCCTCTTTCTACCACAATTTTAACTTACATGCTTCTCATAATACGTTTCTGCGTCATTAAACAGATAAAAATTAATGCTGACTTGATGTTTTTCTTTACTATTCAGTGAAAACATGTGTACTAATGTACGTTCTTCTCCTTGTACTTTTGTAGGATGCTCTCRTTTGGGCCAAGCTCTTCGGTTTATCGAGGAGCCTACCTCTATAATAGCTCGGAGAAATAGTCAAGTGTTCCTTAACTGTAATGCCACAGCCGGGCCCACAGGTTCATCTACTACTAAGATAGTTTGGCGGAAAGATGGCGTATTATTAAGAAGTAACTCAAATTACGTAGTTAGATCTTCTGGCCATCTTACTATCCGTCAATTTCGAGGTAAAAAGGGGGGAAATAGTGACGAAGGAGTGTATCAGTGTTTTGCTTCCAATAAAGAAGGGACGATAGCAAGTAGGAAAGCATGGATACGTCTTGCTGGTAAGTGCTTTGCTTGATTCAAATGTCATCTTTATGTAGCTTAATGGAACATTTTTTTGAGCGAGGTTTGGTTCGATTTTAAATGCTGTCCCAATGTTCATGACATGATTCGGACGAGCAAACGGATGAATTTATTAAATTGAAAAATTACACTCTGTTATTGGCTTCCATTTTGCTATTTTAACTCGTTGTGCGCAAGATTGTGACTCCGTCCAGCTGAATTGGATCTCGGAAAGGAAACTTTCTTCGGATTATTGATATGCATGTAAATTCTCGTTGAGCGTTCAAGGGTATTTGATTGTGAATATATCACGCGATGCAACCGCTTCCATTCCACTCAGCTAAAACTACAAACCGGGCTTGTAATACTATTGTAAAATAAATGGCRGCAGTTCAATAAGCAAAAACCATACCCCATTTTTAGAATAATGTCAGTTTTGTTCTAATCCATTTGGCAAGCAATTTTAGGATTTAAGATAGTCAATTTGGATATTCATATATTATTCTTAAGATATGTTCTAAATCAACTTTGGTTCCTTGAAGTTCGTAGATATTATACCTTGTAAGCTATTTTGATGTGTTTTGAATGGAGCAAAGAATTACAAGCTGTAATGGTAAACAAAGGTAGAATCATTAGTTATTCAAAACAAACGAAAAAGAGACGTGTTCTTCGTTGTTGTTTTTTTCTTTTTTCTTTTTTTTTACTGTTTTTGTGTGAGATTGTTATATTGTTTGATATTGGAGACAGTTAAGTTCGCGTTTAGCGGTTTAACAAGGCTAAAGTTCACCATGTTCTTACATGAGCCTTTCCGCTGAAACCTCCGCATTTTACAAGGGTTTCGGCGTGTATTCTTGCCGTTCTAAAGGAAATTCTATGGACTATTGACCTGMAGTAAAGAAAACTTCATGTGGCTAGATTGTGTTTATGTTTGAAAAGCAATTGAAAGTGGTGTCGTTTTAGATGTAGCTGGATGTATTTTGTATTTCGTAACCAGAGAACAAGATACATGCTGCGAGAACACATCGGCCAACAACGCCGAGAATCCCAAGTGGTGAGATCTGGATTTCCTCGCTTTAAACGTCATGTTTTTAAGTGTTTGTTTAGTCCTTCCAACTGACATTGCGATTCAAACTTGACAATACTATCTCTTAAGGTAGAAATACATGGTTCACTCAATGGATATGATTGTCGCTTTCTTCTGTACAAAATTGTATATTGTCAACATACAAAGACGAGTTGATTCCACACCCGAACTGATTGCAAAGCCGTTTTTTGGACCAATCAACAGTCGCAGAACTCTAATCGTGTATTGAAAAGATTCTTTATGATGTCATGTCAACTAGCGCTTAAACTCGCTTAATTTGCTAATTGATGAACATGTTTAGGCATCTTTTGCTTTCTCGTCTTTTGTTATTGCTTTTAGATAATTGTGGTAAAGTGAATTTGTTCTCAATAAGATAATAATTGCTTACACGTTTTTCTGCTTTATTTACAAAATTTTTGAGATAAAGACATTTTTTTCATACCTTTATCAATTTGTATACACGTTAGAATATGAAAAGATTAACGAAAAATACATGATACAAAATTGCAAGCGGTCATTATAAATGAAGTTTGTGAAAATTACTACATATAATGTCAGAATACCAAAGATATGTTACATTATTTTTTTTTTCTTTTCTTTTTACTTTTTATTTTTCTCCCTTGTTTAGGTTGTATTATATAAATAGCTTCAGTCTAATCTGGGTCCTTATGTTTTGCAAAGCGTACCCTTTCATGTCCATTACAAAAGTTAAGTTTTTACTCGTAATGCAGGTTTTTACCATACATATTTAAGCATTAACATAAAGAAAGAAGCCTATGAAAACATGTGGGACTGTTCTCAGTGCATTAAACATAATGATAGGCATAGAGCATAGCAAACATAACAAATAAACATGTTTGTTTTTCACTTACATATTTTTATCCGATGTCAAAATAGTGAAAACTCTTGTTTCAACCTGATATTTGTGCTTATTTCCAAGAAAAAACACAGTCATGTCCATGTTTGTTTATTGCTATGCTTATGTCTAGTGGAAACCAGTCTTAGCACTAGTTACTCAAAAGCAGTGGTTAGATTCACCAGGAAAGTTAAATATCTTGATAATTCACTAAGGCCTTGTAATCCCAGAACATGTTTGAATACATACTCTATCTTAGATTTAATAACACTAACAATCAAATCTAGATTTAGATTTGAAGCTTCCTCAATAGAGGAAAGTTTTGAGTAAGATAGCAAATTGAAGTTTGTCAAATCCATATTAGAATCTATTAAGTTTTTGATCACATGCAGGAAAGATTACTGTGAACTAGACAAAMTTTTTACATATGGATTGGTATGCAAAGATCTGTGTGAATCAATTTATAAAGGAACATTTTAGGATTCTAGTGTATCCAGACTTGTATGAACAGGCCTTAGTACTCAAAGTATGTGTCAGAATATAAGAATAGCTTTTCAGATTAAAAATGATTATCTCTGAATCTAGGGAACTGAATGCCATATGGCTTCAAAGTCTTTGGCATGAATGCTGTTAGCTAGATTATTGGGCCTGATTTTCAATCAACAGAGAAATTTCTCCAACYATTCAATATTCAATATCCTTGCGTAACAGACACTAGAGTGACTTTTTTATCATGACATGCTTTAGATAGTTCAAATTAAGACATGCAATTGTGCATTTTAACATGGATTAAGTCAAGTGAAGGTCACAATGTTAAGATACAACTCACATGGAAWTTTTTTAGCTTTATAAACTTTTTWWGTGCTTGAATTGTTAAATGAATTTGTAACCCTTTGACTCCTAGTACACTAGAAGCTTTCTTTTTGACATCCTTAATTTAGAAATTGCTGATTGCCTCAGCTAACACCTGTTTACTTTKTTGTTGAACAGTGAGAGTCATGTGCAAATTTGCAAGCTTATGCCTTGTGGATTATATAATGGTGTCATACCCTCTAAAAGAAGAAGAAGCATGCACTTKGTCTCGTCCATCTRCAGTTTTCACATATTTTTTGTCAGTAATATAATGATAGAAACTATATCAATACAAAATGTTTTTTATTGATGGGGACTGATGCATGTGTTTTATCAAAGCTCAGTGGATTTGATCAACAGTTATAGTTTTACTATATTTTACTATATWCTTTATATTTTTATGCATTTACTTATTTTAATATTTATCTTTTCTTTGGCATTATGGCAGTTGTGTAAATTAGGGATATAATTTGTATTGAGCAAAGCAAGCTCAACCACCTTTAAGAAAAGGTATTATTATTATCATTTTTATGTGGATTAGGTTATTATTCTCAACTAAAATGTTTTTGAAGTAGTTAATATGTATAAGGCCTAACCTTGGCCATTGTTCTTCCTAAATGTTACATCATCACTGAGGAATCCGGCATGTTATTTATATTGTAAAGTTTGGAAATCAATGAAATATAACCAGTACACAGTATAGAAATCGGGTCGAMCACTACTGTCAGAACAAAGCATGTGATTGGTCGAGACAACAAAAAGAATTGTAGGATTATGTTAAACAATGCCTATTGTCC